AGGCAGAGGGAGGGGAGAGGAGAAGAGAGCAGCGAGGGGAGGGGAGAAGCCGACGAGGAGGGAGGGGAGAGGAGAAGAGAACCGAGCGACGCTGTTGGTGCCTCGTTGGAGAAGAAATCGAAGAGAGAGAGAGGGGAATAAAAAAGAGAATGGATGGGAAGAGGCTGACAGTGGGTCCCAAGTTATTTAGGGGTGTACATATACTTTTTTTTACTATAGGGTTCAAAATATAAAGTTTCAATAGGTTTGATAATACAAGGGCTGACATAAAAAAAGTTTTAGAGTGGTTTCCACTGTGGGTAGTGTGACCTTTCTGTGATTCTATCCTACGTGGCGTCTCGAGACCACAATTACTTGTGGCTACCATTATACATGCCCTTAGCAACCCGGGTCAACAAGAGAGTGTGTTCGTTCATACTGGGAAGCTTGGCCAACACTGCTATGTCTGGTGAGACGTGTACCATGTACCAGTGCAATGTGGACGTTGACCTCCTCTTTGACTGGCTAGCCTGGCTTGGATCATCAACTCAGCTGTGCTGGCATTTATGCAGTAATTAAAAAAGGGAAATAAGGTACCCATCTGTCCTGAAATAATTACATTGGGGTTCTTTTCTGAATAAGATGCATATATTATCTTAGTTTATATTGATTGATATGCTTTCAAATCGCTAAACAATATATTCCGTGCGAAAACTTTTTATATAAAAATTGCTTTCAAATATTAAGATAAATCTAACTTTAAGTTTAAACTTAAACTAATAACATCTCCGTTTTGCGTGTCTGTATTTAATCTCCATCTTCAGTGAACTCAAACGGGTTCTGAGTGTCAATTGTAAACTTTGACATCTTATCTTTTCAAAGGAAGTTTGGAATAATTAAAAATGTGGTATATTATCGTAGTTTATAGTGTAATAAATAGACCATACACTTTATTCATCATAATATAATCATTTAAAAGTAAACTATATTTAAAGTGAAACGGTGTAGTCTATTGTGCTGATTATTCGAAAATAGATAGAGTAATTGGCTAAACCTTCTCTTTAGTATGCCTACGAGCGTTTGTTTAGATGTGACTTTATAATTAATTTTAAGTAAATTTCATAAAACTACAGATATATTACTCAAACTATCGCAAAACTATAAATTTAAGATGAAGTATCACAAAACTATAGACTTAACACTAAATTTATCATATGTATACAAATTTAAATTGGAGTATCGTAAAACTATAGGTTTAGTAACAAAGTTATAGTAAAACTAAGTGTTTAGTGCCAAATTAAGCACAAAACTTGAATGTTGATAACTCAAACATTAGTGCTCATGATTTAAACCCTAAAATCTGTAGTTTTATGATAGTTTTATTATTAAATCTGTAGTTATAAGATACGTAGCTTAAATTTATAGTTTTGGGATAATTTTTCAAACTTAATTTTAAAGTTGATTTTAAAATATTTTCAATGCAATTTGTTTTTAGCATTGGTTTTTAAGTTGCTAGAAACACGTATATTAAAGTTTTGCCTAGAAATAAATTTTTCTTATCTAATATATTGTTTTAGCTTATTAAAAAATATGGATAACCGACGAAGGTGCAAGACACTGCCTGCAGCTAGGAATGAATGATCAGTCCCACTTTGGTGTAGCATGGGGTGGATAATCACCTCTCACATTGCATACCCAATTCCATACTGTTACCCTAATCATGGCAATTTGGGAAGACGCCAAGCTGACACTCTGTGTATGAAACTGCTGATCAGTTAAGTATATTTTTCAGTTTTTTTTTAAAAAAATATCTCTCCTTTTGGAACCAACATGGAATTATTATTTAATTTGAAGGAGGCTGGTGGGCCAGCCTGGAGTTGACTGGCAGGAGACCTTTCCCCTACCTGTCCCAGCTCTTTGTTTAATTGGAATTCCATTTCTTTTATCTGCCTCATGGGTGGATTTTTAAAATATATATTCCCTGCAATTTTATATTCTGCCATGTTATGTGCAGGTAAAAGACATTCTGTGTGATCAGTTTCTTTATCATTATATTGCATAAAGTGTATAGATACTTGAGATAACCCTGTTATACTCACTGGTCACAGATGTTCCTTTCTCTGGCTACTAGTATTATTTTTAATTTTTTCCCAGTGCACAACCAGTGGTTATGCAAATTGAGGCCTTTATTTTTAGGGATAATTGGTGATTTTGTCCATGATAAATTATTGGATGGGATTATTTATTGTGATAAATGGATGCTGTAGGCTGTAGAGTAGAGGAGTACAGGCAGCAAGAGCCAAGAAGAGAGGAGAGAGAAAGGGGGGAAAAGGAGAGGGAGAGAGAGGCCATGGTTGGTGCTGTTGGGATGCTCCCCTCTCTGACACCCTCCACCTGCAGTGTCTCCCTTGGCTTCACTTCCCCCCTCATTCCTACACAAGAAAACACCCCCACTCAATCATGCAAAAGTTACAAAAAGCCACCCCCTCCATCTAAGTGCCACTTATTGGTCCATGCTTTCAACTCTTAGCTTTACATGATTCAATTATAATTCAAAAGGCAAACAATGCTAATAGTGCAACATTGTAGTAGTTTTAAAATACTTAGGCTCTAACGCCGTGTGCATTGTAAGATCTGGATATTTTAGGTTACTGAACTGTATATAAAACAGCAAGGTCACACCCACATGATTGTCATAGCTTGCTATTGGTAAAAAGAGAGCCCACATAAAAACGAAAAATCCATTATACGAAGCTTAAAACCCAATTATCTCATCATTATTATAGACCACTTCGCAGCAAGAAAGAAAAAAAAAACCAATCCAGTAGCACATATAATAACTAATGAATCATTGATAATAAGCCTCGTGCAAAAAAATGACAGACCATCGCTATTACTCGATGGCTATAATAACACATGCTTCACAACCATATTTCCCATTATTACATTCCTATATTTGTGACCAATCATTATGATAAAAAAAAGGACAACCTGTTTCAACATCCAATCACAAACAAAATAAGGCAAAAAATAAATCACCATGCACCCCTGTTCAATTTTGTGTTGAAATTTCCCTCAAAAGAAAAATTTGTGTTGAAATTCAATGAAATATGGGGGTGGTATGTGCAGTGTTGGGCGCATGTGGGGTTTCTTTTGCAGAGGCTTTTCGCGCTCTCTCGTCTTTGGGTTCGTCCATCATTCCGAGGACCCACGAGTGGCCTACTTCTCTGCCGCTCTCTTCTCTCCAAATAATTAGAAAAGGACCCCTTCAAAAAAAAGTTGAAAAAGAGAGGGACGAAAAAGTGACACTGCCACCACACCCAATACACCCATTGGAATTTCAAAAAAAATTCTTTGAGATGGATTATATTTACACGTGTGGATGTTTTGGTTTTAAGACAAGATGCTGTCAGTTTGGCAACATTTAGGTTGACACTTGGTATTATGCTATGACACCCATCTTTTTTTTAATTATATCCTTTTTAGTGTTTAGTAGGTAATTGTTGGTGTCTGTCTGGATATGAGTTAAGAGAAACTTGTTTATAAGGGGTGTGATGGATCCAACAGGAGATCGGAGTGAATGTGATGTTGAATTCAAGTGGATATAGTAGGTTATTGTTGCTGCCAATCTGGTTATATGGTAGAAGGAATTTATTCAAGGAGCATTATGCATCGAACTCGAGATCAAGATGGATGAGATCTCAAATTCATGTTGATAGCTTCTAAAAGCAAACGATTGAAATCGTTTTACTCTGTACATGATTGATCATGGAGACAAAGCATATACTTGTAATGAAATGGCATATTCATATATAGTGCTTCGCTTCGAGTTCTTTTCATCAAGCCATGTCAAAAGAACAACGAGTAATTTTGTGATAGATTTTTTTTTAAATTACAAAGTACAACGCAGACACTCACAACACACGCACACTCAACCCTATGAGCATCTTCGAAGACTGGATCGGCAAATCCTTAAGATTGACGAAGTCACCACATGTGCCTCGCTGTCGACGAATACGTCGCCTACCACTGAAAGGTTAAATCATAAATTTGCTCCTGTAGGAAGTCGAACCCACGACCTAAAATGTACTTAGGCTTTTATAACCACTATACTACATGCCATTTCGTATTTTGTGATAGAATTTAATGTCCCGCATGAGACATTTGTAGCTTGGGATAATTATTGTTACTGAATTATATGTTTCATCTTACCATTAAAATCAATGGAACAGATCGCTTCCGCGTAGATGTCTTCTCCGGTCGTATTGATCCGCCCTCAAGTTAATACGTCGTCATCTACGTCGATACGCCAATAATCTACCAGATGACATTTCGATAAGCTCAAGCATTTTTTTTCAAAATTCCATTTGCATGATGATCTTCACCAATGTTTATTCAACATCAGAACTTTCTAGCAGTTTTGCTCACCCCAATCAAAGGGAAAACTTGAAATTTTTGTGAGGCAACAAAAGTGGAAAGTGAAAAGGAGAGGGGACGCTACACTAGCAGGGTGCCCAATATCTTCTCTAGCGTTTATGGAATTTGCATATATAGGTTGTGTTTAGATCCAAGATGAAAAATTTCGGCGTGTTATATCGGATATACATATACACATTTAAAGTATTAAACATAAACTAATAACAAAATAAAATTACAAATTCTGCCTATTATCTGCTAGACGAATTTATTAAGCCTAATTAATCCGTTATTAGCAAATGTTTACTATAGCACCACATTGTCAGATTGTGGAGTAATTAGGCTTAAAAGATTTGAATCACAAATTACAAATAATCTGTGTAATTAATTTTTCGTCTATATTTAATACTCTATGTATATGACCAAACATTCGATGTGATAGGGTGAAAATTTTTACTGGAGATCTATAAATAAAACATGCCCATATATACAGAGAGTGTGTAAAAAAATGAAGAAAAGAAATGGCTCCATAAATAAAACAATAACCATAGGTGAGTAAGTAGGCAACCCCACCTCTCCCTGTCTCTCTCTCTTTCTCTCTCCTCCCTCCTCTCCTCTCCAACCCCACCGGCGGCCACCACCACCCCCCCCCCCCAGCCCCATCTCCGGCCACCACCACCGTGTCCTCCACGTGTTCCCGGAGGCCTCCAACTCCGGCGACCACTCGGACCACCCGTGCGGCGGAAGGACTCGCCGTATTTTCCACTTGCGGGCTTGGGTGGCGGCGGTTTCTTGGTTTCTTGGGAGGATGGACCATGGCGGCGGCGGCGGTGGTGGGGGAGCGGCGCCGTCGAGCAGTAATATTGGTGGAGGGAGCGGCGGCGGTGGTGGTGGTGGTGGCAGGGAGAACCACCCGCACCACCCGTTCTACTACTCCGGTCCGGCTGCCGCCGCCGCGGCGGCGGCGGCGGCGCAGCAGCAGCAGCAGACGTTCATGGGCGCGCTGGCGATAACGCCGGTGGTCGCTGAGCAGCCGCAGGGGTCGTCTGGTGGTGGGGAGAAGAAGGTGGTGGCGCCGACGACCCCGGCGGCGGCGGGGGCGGCGGCGACGACGACGCTGGCGAAGCGGCCGTCGAAGGACCGGCACACGAAGGTGGATGGGAGGGGGAGGAGGATACGGATGCCGGCGCTGTGCGCGGCGCGGGTGTTCCAGCTGACGCGGGAGCTGGGGCACAAGTCCGACGGCGAGACCATCGAGTGGCTGCTGCAGCAGGCGGAGCCGGCCATCATCGCGGCGACCGGCACGGGCACCATCCCGGCCAACTTCTCCTCTCTCAACATCTCCATCCGCTCCGGCGCCGCCTCCGCCTCCTCCGCCTCCAACCCCAACCGCGCCTCCCCCTTCCCGGCGCTGGCTCTTCACCCGCACCACCAGCAGCACGACGTGTCCGCCATGCTCGGCTACCACCACCACCTCCTCCCGCCGCCGCAGCAGCAGCAGGAGTCGCCCCAGGATCCCGGCGGCGCGGGCGCGTTCATGAGGAAGCGATACAGGGAGGACCTCTTCAAGGAGGACGACGACCGCCAAGATCCCAGCGCGCCCAAGGCGCGCGAGCAGCAGCCGACGACGCCGCAGGCGGCGGCGGCCGCCGCCGCGGCGGCGGCAATGTGGGCCGTCGCGCCGAACACCGCGGCGCCCGGCGGCGCGTTCTGGATGCTGCCGGTGTCCGCCAGCTCGGCCGCTGCCGCGCGCCCCACCGAGCAGCCCATGTGGTCCTTCGCCGGCGGCGGCGGCGGCGCCGCCACGGTGCAGGCGCCGCTCCAGTTCATGTCGACGCGTGTCAACTACCCCGGCAGCGCCGGCGCCGGCATGTCGGACACCAACCTCGGCATGCTCGCCGCGCTCAATGCGTACAACCGCGGCGGCGCCGGAGACCAGCAGCCGCAGCAGCAACCGGAGATGGACCAGCAGGGCCGCAACGACGACGACGACGATGACGGCGACGACAGCGGCGACGAAGACAACGGCGGCGCAAACAACAACAACAACAACAGCTCGCAGTAAGCTCGCACCATCACCATCACCTCTGAATTCGCCATGATCGTCCATTCATATCTTGGTAATGGTGCTAGTGGTTTAGAAGCAAGCATCACCTTAGGGTTTAGAACTTCTTTTGCTGCCATTGGATTGGGCAAAGGAGGAATCAATCAAGAAAATGGATCACTACACTAGTGTCAATTTGTGCAAGAAGCAGAGCAAGACAAAGCTTATGTTGAGCAAAGCCAAGAGAAGCCAATGCAATGCAATGCAAGAGCAACACTTCTTGCTAGTTCAATTAGCCTTGTTAATTAAATTTTTTTGGGGGTATTGTTTTTATTTTTGTATTGTTTGTTTTTTTTTTTGGATTGATCTATCAAGATTCAAGAACCATTTGTCTTGTTGAGACGGGTGTTTGATGATGATTAGTAGTGGGTCCAAATTAGGAGGGCCAAGAAAAAAGGAGTTTGAGAGAGAAGGGGAGGATTTGTACAGTTGATCATCTTGATTTATGCTGTTGCACTGTTAATTAATTCTAGTTTATTTTTCATTCTTTCCATGTGTGTTCTACTAGTACTAGTGTATATCTCTCTCTCTCTCTTAATTTTATTTTTTCAGTGTGCCTGTGGCTGTGTTTATGTTTAGATCCAAAATTTGGATCCAAACTTTGGTCCTTTTTCATCACATCAACCTATCATACACACACAACTTTTCAGTCATATCATCTCCAATTTCAATTAAAATCTAAACTAAACTTTACGCTGAACTAAACACAACCGTGTTGCTCTACATGGCAATGATCTTGTGCTTATCACCTTGGGATCTACTACTCCTTTGTCTTGTGATGTCACTGTTTAGTATTACTACTCCTATCTTGTATGGCAGCAAACATTATCAGCAATTTCCATTCTTTTCTGTGGTTACTGAAACAATATTTGCATGTACTACTATCTCAATATCTTTGTTTAATTGTAGTTCACCTGGTGGATTTTTATCCCAGCTACTATAACATTTTTTTAGGGTTTGTTCACTTTGTAGCCAAATCAACCTTGTCAAATTTTGATAGCGTTGAATGTATTTAGTTTGACGCCTTTGTAAAATTTGATAGCACTTTTATGAGAGAAAAGTTCCGGAACTATGGCATTGCTAAGATCATATTTAGTTTATTTGCATGCTGAAAAGGATAATAAAGTGAATAAGCTTTTAAAAATATTACCAAAGGGTGTTTTACAAGACTTGATTACCTTGTTTGGTGCGCCGGAATTTCACAAAAACTATAAATTCCGAGATATGAACAAAGAGAGAACATTGTGGATAATGTCCCCCTTGTCCTAGCACCTCTGTTAGTAGAATGAGATGAGCTAATTTAGGGCTTTTATGGGTTGGCCAAATAGAAATGATTCATTTTGCTATTCCTATTCATGCATTGGAGATGATGGATCTCTTTCACACAAGTAGACACACTCCCAAAGTTTTTCAGGGCTTGGTCATCACATCTCTACTTGAATCATGAATGGCAAACCCCACACACAAGATATTACTAAAAAGGATACCAAATTAATCAAAATAAAAAAAGGGTGGAAAAGCAAGCAAACCTAATGAAGAGATCAGCAAAGCATGTCAGTGAAGATAATTCGGTGGTGATGCAATGGTACAGAGACAAAAGAGCTTTTAAAAAATGGGTGAGAAAATCAGAAAATTATTTATAGTACTAGGACTAGTATAATGTACTCCCTCACTCCTCTAATATAAGGGATTTTGATATTTTGCTTGCTGTTTGACCACTCGTTTTATTTAAAAATTTATATAAATATAAAAATAAAAAGTTGTGTTTAAAGTACTTTGGATAATAAGTCACAAATAATAATTCTAAAATTTTTTTGAACAAGACAATGGCAAAACAATATAAGCAAAATATCAAAATCACACTTATTAAGAGATGGAGGGTGTACTGTACTATTTCATTAGAGAGAGAGATGGCGTTTTCACGGGTGATTGGATTAATTAACAGAGGAAAGGGCGTCGTTATCTGGAATGGGTGGTAACACAAGTTGGTTTATCCCTTTAATTATTGCCTGTCGCGTCAGCTTTCAGTTTGCTGCTGCTCTGCTCTCTCTGTTGCTGCTACTGTGCTATACTGCTGCCGCGTGGATCTCGAGGCATATCCAATGGCGTAGCCTGTTTGTTGGCCCAGATATTTGTTTGGTTTTGCTACAGAAAATTACTTTTTTTATTTTTCATTTTGTTAGTATGGTTTTAGGATGAGTATTTTGCGTCTACACCGTCGATGACAGCAACCAGCTGATTGCTTATCCCATAATTGAGATCTCTTTCAGACACTGTCCAAGCTGGTTTGTAACGCTGCACTGTCTTTGCTGACTTCTTTCAGTATAGTGAAAAATTTTATACCCTTTCCTTTCTACAAATTACTTTTAAATGTTTAGATTACGATGGATGGAAGGTATATGGGTCTATCTGTGATAGTACACACTTTAATAATATACGTAGCATATTTTATAGTTTTTTTCTTAAAAAAACATGGACCAAAGTTTAAATTTAAATAGTGATGGTATGAGTTATTTGAGAACGGAGGAAGTTGCTTTAGAATGAATTGACTAGCGGTTGGATATAAGTATGCAACTCTATGATATGATATAAGTATGCAACTCTATGATATCGAGAGAGTATCTAGGGTAGACAATTGGGTTTACCTTAGCATGCGACAAGGGGTTATCGTACCCTAGTGATAATCCCGAATCCCGACGGGTTATCGTACCCTAGCGGTAATCCCGATAAACACGGTAACCATACAGTTACCGTAGTGGACAATGAGAAAATGGGATGAAATCTATCAAAAAAAGTATATATCAGATTATGTTTAAATTCTTTTAAACTTGACATGGTTATCAGGCCCTACCTACCATTTACCCTAAGTCCTGATATGGTGGTGCTTTTTTTTTAAGATGAAGATTAAGTTTTTTGCGCAAAATGAGGTGGTATTAACGTATGATTGATTGAATTTTAATTATTACAGACTTGAAAAATATATTAATATGGTATTTTAGAGCAACTTTCATATAGAAAGTTTTCACACGAAACGTACTGTTTAACAGTTTAAAAAGCGTGCCACGAAAATTTTAATCTTCATTCAAATCTTGTTGGAGAAAAGAACAGGACCATAATTGAAACCGCGAACGGTAAGGAAACCTACTCGACAGCGACTACTAAGGACTACTTTGTAGAGCCAGACTTTCTTCAACTAAATCCAAACATTTGATTTTAAAGGCTACTAAAAATTATTAATTCATGGGAAGAAAAACCTATTATTTTACCAACCTCTATGCAAAGAGAAAACCAATTACTTAAAAGAGATCAGCAAGGAGAGTCAAAATTGTTGGCCTGTCCAAATGCGCGTGTGGAAATTAAAATCAAAGAATGAATGAATGGATGCAGTGGTCTTATCATTGAAAAGTGATTCGATTCTGGGAGACCCACACCCACACACACAAAAACAAACGCAAATACGCATTGCATTGCATGCAAAGGTGGATTTCCTGCGTGGCCCATTGGCTAGCAGCTACTACCACTGCCACTGCTGCAACCTCTGCAACTCATATCCACATCAAATTATCAATATATCATCACTGCCGCATTGCCTCCATCCTGCTGCTACAGCCAAATATTTCGGGGGTGTTTAGACGAGGGTGTAAAGTTTTTTTTTTCATATCACATCAGTTATTATATAGGGTGTCGTATGGTGTGTTTGGGCATTAATAAAAAAGCTAATTACAGAATTCGTCAGTAAACAGCGAGAAGAATTTATTAAGCTTAAGTAATCTGTCATTAGCAAATATTTACTATAGCAACACATTGTCAAATATTATGGAGCAATTAGGTTTAAAAGATTCGTCTCGCAAATTAGTCGTAATATGTGCAATTGGTTATTTTTTTAGCCTATATTTAATACTTCATACAGGTATTCAAACGTTCGATGTGACATGATTTAAAATTTTTGTGTGAAAACTTAACAAAGACCTTCATTCTGGTCCAGGAGGCGACAGGAAAGAGTGTATATTACGAAAAAAAAATTTTGTAAAAAATTATAAATCTTACGATACTAAACTATACGGATTTATAAAAATTGATGGTCAAATATAGATATATTTAAGTTAAAACAAACCGATAACAAAACTATTTTAAAATCAAGGGAGTACATATCATAATAATCTCCATAAATGCTGAAAAATGTACATAATTAAATTACTAGCGATTTGGTTCAGAGAATCACATATTCATATAATGTAAATTCTAGCAAATAGAGTTTAACAAGAGCAGAAAATGTGTAACAACCTCGTATCTTGCTTAATCAAGAGCCTCCCTACGTTTTCTTAGGCTGAGTTCGCTTCAGTGCTTATAATTTTCGCCGGCACGTGAAACGAGGCAAACCATTAGCCTATAATTAATCGACTATTAATTATTACTATTTAAAAAATAGATTTATTTGATTTTTTAAAAGAAACTTCTATACAAAATTTTTTTCATGAAAAATGAGAAAGTAACTGGTCCAAAATGCTGAAACGAACTCACCCTAATCTCTAGGGCATAAGTAGCTTGTAACCATATAGAATAAGTCTATTGACCCTGTTTAGATGGGACTAAAACTTTTAAGTCCCTATCACATCGGATGTTTGGACACTAATTATAAATATTAAGCGTAGACTATTAATAAAACCCATCCATAATCTTGGACTAATTCACGAGACGAATCTATAAGCCTAATTAATCTATGATTAGCCTATGTGATGCTACAGTAAACATTCTCTAATTATGGATTAATTAGGCTTAAAAAATTTGTCTCGCAAGTTAGCTTTCATTTATGTAATTAGTTTTGTAGGTAGTCTATATTTAATACTCTAAATTAGTATCTAAATACAGAGATTAAAGTTAAGTCCCTGAATCCAAACACCACCAAATCTGAAATAGAGATTTTCTTTCGAGTTCATATCCTTGTAGCTAGTAAACACGCTGGATTTTGGACCATGGTCCCAATCATGTAAACATTGGCCAGCATCAGCTATTCAACTTATCAGCTACTCATTCAATTCCTCACATTATTCAGCTCCTCCATGAATTCAGCAAATGAGTCAACCTGTCTCAATCTTATTCTGTTGAGCCCGTCCTTTTACTATGCACATATCTCATATGCCAGATCCTCATTTTCCCCCTTCATTTGAACTGTATATATGGCACCAAGGAAGGCCTCTTTCAGTCATTTGTCTTGAGGTCAGCTACTTGTCAGTCACGAGGTGAGATTGAAACACCCCATATGTTGTGTAATGAAAGTATTTTGTCTATTTCATATGTTGTGTAATGAAAGTAGTAGCCAGATACAATTCGAATCGGAGCGAATTTGAAAAACCCTTCTCGGCCCAAGCCTAAATGCCTTTTGAGAGAGTTTAAGATACAAGAGCTGATTGGTAGTCAGCTTCTGAAAATTTGAATAAACTAGGTTTTCTACCTTATTTAGATTTTTGAAAAATTGGATTCTACAACTACAACTTTTCAGAATCTTAACGAAAAGTTAGATTGTTCAGGGAAGATTCTGATTCTGAGAAAATCTACCGCTGCCAAAAGTTTCTCCAACCAGGTCCTAAGTCGACTAAATAACCTTATGCCCTGTTTGGACTGGCGAAAAAAAAAAGAATTCTTGATAATTTGATCATGTTTCCATAGCACGAGTCACATATATACAATTTTCTTTTTGTCAAAGGCATATGTACAATTTGATAATGTTGGTGTCAGTATCGGATTACGTACACGTCAGCGATCCTGTGGCACCAAATAAAAAGGTAGCTTGAAAACTATATTCAGTTGAGCTCACACCGTTTGTTTGATATATCTGGGTGTACTAAACCAAAGGAAAATCAGCACCAATCAGCCATCACTAAATAGTGCCAGAAAGCGACCACCCAATTAACACGACGACAATACCCCCACAGCGGATAAGATCTGTAACGCGTGTCCTCCACGCTGACGTGGACCGGGGGTATATGCACGTCACATGTTCCAACGTGGATAGTTGCTCCTTACTCTCTTTTGAGTAATAAACTGCGTCTACGGTATATAAACTTAGTATGTGGGTGTAATCTAGTGAAAAACTTAAAAATGAGTATATAGATGTAAAAACTTGGCTAGTGCGTGCATTTTGGTTAAAAGATCAAAATATTCCACACCATACCTTTTATGCCATCTTGATAAAGATCTACATGTATTATATGTATTGCTTTTAATTGGTTAGTTGTAATAATAAATAATCTATCGATTTGAAACCAAAAGATATATGATTATCAAAAGTAAGTGCATGCAAATAACATAATTTTTGAGCAATTTGACTAATCAACATATTAATTGTCTCAGGTTATGAACATGGCGAAACACGAAATTGAATCCATGAGCCAACAATCTAGTAGTTATGCTTATAATATCAGGATTAATGAAAGACATATATCAGTGTTTTTTTTTTGACTAAAATGCACGTGATTGTTAAGTTCATGTACCGGTTTACTTATTTCTTGCACTAAATCGCACCCACTTACGGTGGGCGCAATTTACTCTTCTCTTTTTATTCCTTTATTTATTTTGTGAATTGGGTAAAATAAAAAAACACCCTTAATGGGCTGGGCCCAACTGGACTGTAGTGGGCTAAGGCACGGCACGTGTACAATAGCAACGGTGCAGCACGATATGTCCGAAGCATGAGCACGGCACAAACATGGCTCAAACAAACACCTATAGCTTCCCTCTTTTGTTTTTACCGTTATGTTCATACGTTGCAACGGGTAAAAACCATATAATTAGAGATGTGTTAGGAGGGTGATTGAGAAACATTGGATCTGGTAGTTACGTAATCAGAGTGGACACGCCGCGTGCAATTGGAGGGGATGGAAGAAGATGATTCGCTTTTTTTTTCCTTCCCCCGTTCATTTTCTTTCATTATAACCATTTTCTTTAATAAAAAAGATTAACATAGGCTCATCAAAGTCTTGGGTCATGTTTGGGCTTCTTGATCGACATGTGGGCCGGTACAACATGACCCGTTTCGCTAGCCGTGCTTAACAAGTCATACCCTAATGGGTGCTGTCCTGTTGCATATTCTATCCGTTCTATAAAAAAATGTCTTAGTTCAAATCTACTCTCTTCATTTCAAAATAAGCCAAGATCGTACCGGTATATCTAGATTCATTGTGCTACGATGCATTACATCTGGTAGTCATTGATGTATAGAAATTAAAGAAAACAACCATACAATGCGTGTAACCATACAAAAGCTTCAGGCCCAGTAGTGTATATGATAGGTGCATATGATATGGTAGTGTATCGGTACGAGATTGGTTTATTTTGGGATACAGGAGTAGAAGTTTATTTTTTATGGCACAAGTCTCGTTCACATTTGTTTTCATATATTTCCAAAATAAAAAATGTCTTGGAAGCTCGTTATCGAACATAACGGAGCGAATACCACCAATAGCAAAATTCTCACATATGAGAATGAAAAAAAAACAATATTTTTGGCGACTTAAATTGCTGTGCTATATACGCGATGAGAAAAGGTGACTTGGTCGCATGAATGAAACTTATAAAAAGAAAAAAAAACATAACGATGTGTTTTTCACACATATTTATAAGCGCCTGCGTTTCACTGTGTTTTTTTAATTAAAAAGTAAAAATAAAATAAAAAGCATATCGATTTCAGGACTCCCCCCCCCCCCCCCCCCACCAATTCCCTCCCCTTCCCCGTTTCATCTGCTGCGGCCGGACTCCCTCCACGAATCCTCCTCCGCCGCCGTCGCCGCCGCCGCCGCCGCAAGGTACGGTGTATGCTGGGTGCCCTCTCCTCCGCTCTCCTCCTACGGATCTGCTCGCTTCCGCCTTCTCTCTGCTCGTTCTGGGAGGACGTGTGATCTGATGGATGTTTATGGATGGTTGGGAGCCGAGGGCGATCTGTTCTTGCCATGTTAGATCTCTGACGCGTGGTGCGTAGCGACGTGTTATGTTAGATCCCGAGCCTTTTTTTTTTGTTTTTTTTGGTCTGAGATTTATGGGGGCGGTGATCTTCCTTCCGCCTCGTTCATGAACGGTTTGGATCTCTGATCTGTTCGTTCTTGTTGTTACTACTTGAATTCCTGATCCGCGTTACTGCGTGCGTATCGTATCCCCGCGATAATTCAGCTCTTCTTCTTTGTCTCTGTGATCTCTTGCATATGGTGCTACAACTACAAGTGAAGCATCGCATAAGGCTCATTTGTAGATTTGTTCATGTCTCTGTTGCCTGTTGATAGTGTCATCCAAGTGGTGTTCGTTTCTAATGAAGATGAAGATGAAGATGAAGTTGAGTTTTAATTATGACAAACTTAAAAGTTGGATTTGTTTGATATTACAAAGCAACTTATATGTACGTACGAAACGTGTTGTTTAGTAGTTTGAAAGACGTGATGATGGGGATTGAGGTAAAATAGAAACGAAAACCACCTAAGTCTCACAGTGTCGATTCAATTAGAAGATGCAGTTTAGCTAGTCTATTAGAAAACTGTTTATTGGTCTCATGTCCTTTGGGGACTGAGTAGATTCTACTTCTTATATTCAGCCTTTTGCCATTGTTATCCTTTCCTATCTGTCGTCTGCAATTTGTGCTTCCATCATATGATGGGTGCCTGTACTTCTGAATTTCTTGTTGAACTTATTGATGCAACATGTTTGATTATTGAACTTTGCATTGTGTGTATACCACTAGTGCTGTCATTCTAATCTTTGAAGCCTGTATTGCCCTTGCAGAGAGCTAAAACAAGATGCCGGCTAATGGCGATGGCCCTGCCAGAGGGAGCGCAGCAGCTGCCGCAAGCTTGCGCAGGCGCAGAACCACTGGCGGTGCCGGTGCCGGTGCTAGAGGTGGCACCAGCACAATGCTTCAGTTCTACACTGAAGAGGCTGCTGGGTGCAAGATGTCCCCCAATGCTGTTCTGATCATGAGCATCGGGTTTTTCGCGGTCGTTGCCCTTCTCCATGTTTTCGGCAAGCTATACCGTACCTCCTCCAACTAGGTTGACAATGCTATTATCCATGACTAGCAGATTCAGTCAACAGAGGATTTCGTTTGTAGAGTTCCTTCAATGCATAGCAAATTGCTATTCGATTATGAAAAGTTTTCTGTTATCATCATAGAATGTCACATACCTTTCAGTGGAGATGTTTATGGTTGAATTCTTAAATGCGTCATTTGTTGATCATTAATTTGCTGTTGTGGTTATTCTCGCGAATGTTTGTTTCTGCAATGAAGTATGTCCTGATTATCTGACATCCTAGATTGATTTTGGCTATCTTCAGTCTGATCCTTTTGTATCTCGCCCTTTACATTAAGCAATGGAGCATTGTGCAACAGTACAGTACATCCATGGCAATTTCACTATTAGGGATTTTCTCCAGTAGAAAACAATGAATCCCATACATACGGATTTGGGTTCACCTGCAGTCAGTCATTATGTTATAATGTATTGGCTGCCTATGCATGTGCATCTGAAATGCTCAAAGCTGTAGCTGGCAGTGTAATATGGATTCAGAAATGCTCTTAGTTGAACTGGCTTAGTCTCCCTGTCCCTAAGCCCTCATTAAGTCATTATTCAGACATTGACAGCAAAGCAACACTGTTACTTGGCATCAAATCTGGCAGAAAGTATTACAACTCCGTCTAGTTATCCTGTCAAAAACACTATCGTATTCCCGGTTGGGTATTTGCTGCTGTGCTTGTTCTGAAGAATCTGCAGTTGATCACGTACCTGGATACATATGAGTCGCCAATGAAGCTGCAAAGCAAAAATAACTAAACTCATGTGCAACATAACTATAGTTGGGTATCTTTATGTCACCAATTTTATTGTGAAAGCTCTCTATCATAACATTGTTAATTACTCCAATATAGATGAGGACATGAAACAAAATGCACTGCACTACATGTGAAATGTTACTGGTAACAGGAATGCACATCTAGTGCAGCTTAAATCGTCGACGAGCTCAACAAAGCAATGTATCGAGCTAGGCAGCTAACTGGATTTGATATCTGGACTCAAGCATTATGATTGTTTGGGTGCCCAAAAAAAAGTTATTTGCTACACAAAATTGTTAGTACATCACTTGGGTTGCTGTTGCTATTCAGGTCATGGAATGAAGAATAGTCATGGTCTTTTCAGACAGAGAATCGTATCAACCGATAATAAAACCTCCCCTAAAAAAGATAAAATCGAGAGAGGTCCATGAAGATTAGGCATTTCTGTATTTCTCCACCTTCCATTTCCTCTTGAATAAATTGCCTTCTCTTTTGTGAGTGTACTCTCCCTCCAATAGCTTTTATATGACGTTTAGGAACAAAAAAAAAGTGAGTGATTTAGTGCAATTTTTCTTGTCTGAAACTCCAAATAATTTTGACCGGAGGGAGTACAAGATTGTTACGACGCAGCCATCCGTTGGGAAAAAAACGTTCTGAAGATAGTTGAATGCAAAGTTCAAAGTCATCATTTATAACGTTCTTCTGGTAACCATCTTCCAACAGAGAGATTTTTTTTTCTAGTAATGCAATGATCAACATGATAAATAGTCGGGGTATTGCCCATGCCACAAACCTGACAACGATCTGGAATTCTACCAAGATGCATTTTTCTGCCTTCAAAACATTTGTTTCTAACCTTTAGGAATCATCCAGCTGTGGAGGTATATAAGTAGTTAAATCACCCTCGAAATATTTAGTCTTAACAATTTGTGGCCATAATAATCCTTGTTCACATTCTAATTTCCACCAACACTTGCAAAGCAAATTGATATTTGAAAGTCTAAAGGATTTGATACGCGGACCATCTTAATGCTTGGGTTTGCAAACACCTTTTCCCATTTCACTGAAAATGCCATATTTTCTTTAGGGTGACCACCCTCTCAAAGAAAAGCCAGAAGCTTAGTCAATTAAAGATTTATAAGCAAAAGGATCATTAACATGTGTTACATTGGAATGCTAGTCAAGCATGAATGAATTAATTGAAGTTATTCTTCCTCCAACAGAAACATCACTTCAATAAGATAAATCTAGCCTTTTGGCAATTTTTCCGACTTGAGAATTCCGAATCACAAACTTTCACCCTGGAGAATTCAGCAGGCACTCCCAACTAACCCAAACACACCATCAACTCAAGAAAAATTATTTTAAGCCCAGATAATTACTTTACATATAACAATTTTTCATATTTCTTCTTTCTACCACATCACCATCCTTTTGCCAGATGACACTGTCATCTGCATCCGGTAAAATAGCCACTCCTCAGATGAGGAACTGAACCACGCGCTAGATTGTTTAACTTGTTAAGTCTAATCAGTTCTCAAAAATTCAAACCAGAAACAAACATGGTTTCATTTCTCAAATAGCAATCACCCACTATCGAAGTAATGTATAGGGATGAAAACGGATCGGAAACGGATGGAAACTAGCTTTATCATATTCGTTTTCATATTTTTTTTCGGAATCGGAATCGGAATCGAAAACTCGGATACGGAAATGAAATCGAATATTATCGAATATAGATACGGAGCGAATACGAGACGGAACGAATACGGTAGCGAATATTTACCGATATATAAAAAGCCCCTCAAATTGAGTTTCTTGATAAAGGAAGAGATATCACTTATTATTTTAGTTAAACATCGCTAACAATTATATCATCAATTTTGTAGACGGTCTCACAACCGTATGTGAAAAATCGATTTTTATTGTTGTTCCTCTAAGAGATCCATATGCAAATATGATTATCATTTTCTATTCTCAAGACCTTTTACTATATGTATAACTTACTTGCCATTGTATAAATTGGAGATGTTATTTATTTTACTTCACATCCTCGAAACTTGCAATATTTGTTTTATGCTTTAAATGCTTTCAAATACAAATGTTATAAACTACAAAGTGGTAGATCCCGTTGAGCTCTACAACTTTGATATGGAACACATCTCCATCAGATATCGTTTGAATTGTAAATCTGAGATTTTGTAAAAATTAATATGGTATATTATAATGAATATTTAGACCCTTAAATAACCTCAAATAATAAAATAGTCAATATGAAAGTTGTAGATCTCATCGAGCTCTACAATGTTGATATAAAGTTTGTCTTCATCTGATTCCGTATGAAAAAGTTATGTATATATACATGTTTTTTCTAAAATTTACTCAATGTCTGCGGATATCCGAAAAAAATTCCAGATAGTTTCCGACCGTTTTCCGATTCCGACGGATAGTACCCATACTGTATTCGTTTTCGTTTCCGAGAAAAAAAATCCGAATTCGTTTCCGAATCCGAGAATTTTCGGATAGTTCCGACCGAAACTATCCGAATCCGAAAAAAGGTCCGGACGGACGGAACTATCCGAACCAGTTTCATCCCTAGTAATGTAGAGTATTCATCTCTATTTGTGGGATTCAGATATAGTAGAATTGGTTCTCGGAATCGCCAATACGACTAGGAAATGAGAAACTACATACACTTTGTTACTGATCACACTGATCTAGCTCCTAAAAAAAATCTTAACACCTCATAGTTAATGTACGCCTGAAAAAAATTGCACTGCAAACAACAAATGGATTAACTGAAATTGCCACACAAATGCCAACAAAGGTATATCAACCGGCTGGTCACAACTTCACAAGTACAAAAGAAACCATCGGCACCATCACATCACATCACATCTAGCTTAATTAGTTCAAAGCAGTACTTGCAATTTGACAGAGGCTTAAAATTAGTACTAAGTGTCATCCTCATAAAGGTAGTAGTTAGCCATGGATTAGTCAAGCATTGAATGCACATGAGACATGAATTAAGGTAGCACTGACCAGGCGATCATGACCGACATCCTGCAGAACCCAAGATTGAATCCACACCTGCTTCTCAACGCATGCCTAGGCCTGATGTCCACCTGTCTCGTCACAATCTCTTCGCTGCCAATCTCTGCAGCCTCCACACCAAGGATCAGGCTTCCCTTCTCCTCCACCACCACGACGCGCCGCTGCAGCACGACGAGTGGGCCACTGTCGTCATCGTCATTGACCACCGCCACCTTGCCGTCACCGGAGTCGAGCAGCACCACGTCTTCATCGATGCCAGCGGTGCGAGCGGTGAGACGGGCCCTGAAATCGGTTGAGCCTTCGATGACACGAACTGCGATGGTGGCCTCCACGGCGAATATCAGGTGTGCGAAGACGAACTCCATTGTGGAGTGCTCCGTCGACTCGACGGATCTCCGGGCGAAGCCAGTGTTGTTCATGTGAGCTACGCCGTCGTAGAAGAAGGCGTTGTAGCTTAGCACCTTATCGTCCTCTTCAGATTCAGACAACGGCAAGCCACTATTGTTGTGGGTGATCACCTTGAGGTCAACCTCGAACATGACAGGGTTGATCAGCACGACGGCACGGCTAGGGCCAGTGAGCGTCAGAGATGAATCCTGTATATATACATGCATAAACACACATAAATATATATGCACAGTAAGCAATATACAGATCATGTCTGGATTCTGATCTTACACATTGATCTTCAGTTCAAAAAATATAAGCAACAACTGTGATCCAGGATGCAAACCCCGAATTTCAGACCGATAAAACCATACTAACTATTACCTCCATTTTAAAAAGGATGCCAGACTGATAAAACTAAATACTCCATGCGTTTACAAATATAAATACTTTGGACTTAGACACGGTTTCCAATGTGCTACTTTGACCTGTATCTATAAAAATAAATTATTCCAAATAAAAAGAGTCTTATGATAATTTGTTTAACGATAAACCTAGCAACATCTTTCTTACGTGATCCATCATTATGTTCTCTTTAACAATTTGGCAGTCAAAACTAAAAAGGTTTGGCTTGTTCTAAAAGTGCTTATATTTATGATCAAAGAGAGGAGTAAGCTAGTACTAGTATAAATCATGGGAAAGATAAATACGTTGAATGTGATGCTTGCCTGTGGCGAGGTGAGGGTCTGGCAGTCGTCCCTGTCGCGGCGGAAGAGGACGTTCCTCTTGTGATCCAGCGAGTCACGGACAGCAACGATGCCGTAGACACGCAGTGGCCACTCAAGGTTCCCCATGACCTCTGTCACCTTGACTGAAAATATTTGTAGCACGTCCATTGGCCACGAGGATATCGGCAGCACAGGTCCATCAGTGTGCTGCATGGGCCGGATTGCAGCTGTAGGCATATAGATATAGCACTAGTTGAATCATTATTGAATACATGGAATGGAATTTCAGTGTTCTAAAAGTCCACTGTGATTTTGTGTTTGAATGTGCACTAGGCAGCTGTCCTGTCTGGTTATATTGATATAATTCTACTTTCTTTTTGGAAAAAAGAAGGCTTGTTAATTGCTTGGAAAGCGCTAGACAGGTTTGTTATAAGAGTTTAGCCCTATGGACCACCTTGCGTCTAGCACCTTCTCGAACCATGTGGAATTTCATAGTGAAATTCTGTCGTGCGACCTCATTCCTCCTGACACATCCAGTGCAGACCAGGACTGTTTGTGTACGCTCAGATTAACTTACAGCAGAGTGGTCAATGGTGGTGTTTGAATCTCCTGAAGATGAATATTAAATTTTTCACGCAAAACGAGGTGGTAATAACGTGTGATTAATTGAGTTTTAATTATTTCAAACTTGAAAAATGTATTAATCTGATATTTTAGAACAACTTTTATATAGAAAGTTTTCGCACGAAACGCACCGTTTAGCAGTTTGAAAAGCGTGTCACGAATATCTAAAACTTAATCCACTTTTTTAAGTGGAAACGAACGGAGCCATTTGCCTAATAAAATTTAGAGTGAATTACGCTTTGGGCCACATTTTATTACCTAAGTTTCACTTTGAACCACCCTTAAACATATATTTTCACTTTGGACCAGATGACTTTGCCATTATTGCGATTTGGACCACCATGAACGATTTTTTTTTCAGTACAATCAGCGACCTTAAACACATCAGCTTTAGTACACGGCCGAACTCCTCTATGTATAGCTCATATGTTTGCCGAAAGGGAAGTTAGACATGATGAGAAAAAGTTGTTTATGGTAGTCCAAACCGCAACAATGGTAAATTTACCCGGTCCAAATTAAAAAGATAGGTTTAAGGGTGGTCCAAATTGAAACTTAGGTAATAAAAGGTGGACCAAAGTACAATTTACTTTAAAATTTATCTTACTAGTATGCCCAAAAAAGAAGGGAAAAAAAACTAGTTTGCACATGAGCAAATTGATGGCCATATATCGAAATCTTGTCCTTAAGATTAAGATGACGCCTGTAAAGAAATTGTTTGGGCTTCTTGTCCTTAAGATTGTCCTTAAGATTAAGATGATGAGATGTGATTGGTGCGCAATGAATTGTCCTTAAGATTAAGATGATGAGATGTGATTGGTGCGCAATGAAGAAGAAGAAGTGGGGGTTACTCACTCTCGTCCTCAAAGGAGGATCCGTCGTTTTTGCCGTAGTTGGTGGCCCAGGTGGTACGGTAGGAGTCGAGGAAATTGGAGTCGTCGTTGTAGTAGTCGTTGTCCTCGTCCTCGTCTTCTTGGCAGGTGGTGGTGGTGTTGCGGCCGCCCTCCTCGCGCGACCTCTTCGCGTCTCCGCCGGCGGGGATCTCCTCGTCGGGGCCAGCGATCTGGCCGTGGCCGGTCCCGTTCCGACCCGAATCCACCTCCATCCCCTGTCGCTCGCCTCGCCGCCAAGATCGATCGCTAGGGTTTTTTCTTTTTTCTTTTTCTTTCCCCGGATAAGAAAGCTAGGGCTTTTGCTCGGCTCGATGGGAAGTGTCGGGGAAATATAGGGATGATGAAGAAGCACGTCACTGGTGAGATGGGAAGGGAAGTGGGCCGGGCCGGAGACAAATGAGCCTCAAATGAAGCCCACTTGGCCATGGGGGCGGTTACCGATTGGAATAAGTTCACCGGAGGTCCTCAACTTAACAGCGAGATTTTTTGAAATCCCTTAACCACAAAACCATAAATGTGTACCCCTAATCTCACACAAACCGTGCACTCAGGGTCCTATGGCAGTATATATGGGTGGTTTTGCGGACGTGGCATCCTAGTCAGTAAAAAAATTAAGAAAAGTACGTGGGGCCCACATATCAGCCGTTATCTCCTCTTTTCTTCTCCTTCTCTTCTCTTTTCTCTCTTCTCTCTTCTCTTCTTCGGTGAAGGAACCGGTGGCGGGTGGAGCGGCGATCGGCGAGCGCGATGTGGGTGGCGGGTGGCGGGCGGAGCGACGGTGGGTGAGCGCGGGAGCGAAGCACGCGATGGTCGAGCGCGGCGACGGGTGCCAAGAGCGCGGGAGCGGAGCGGCGGTGGCAGCGGTTGGCGAGTGCCGGGCGAAGCAGTTTGGGAGGGAGGGGGAGGCGGGTGGCGAGCCCGTCTGAGCTCGCCCGGCCTGCGCGTGAGTCCGCCCCCGCCGTAGCTTGGTGTGCTAGTGGAGGTGTGCCGCCAGCGGACGGCATACGAGGACGAGGACGACGACGACAACGACGACGACGAGGAAAAGGGGAGAGAGGAACCGACGACCGACGACAACGGAGGCGGGCGAGCGCGGCGCCTGGCTGCTCACGCTTGCCGACTAGGCGACCGGGCCCCCCGCTCTAGCGAACTCGCCCGCGGCCCTCCGCCCACTGCTGCTCTGCCTGCCGCGCTCATGGAGGAGGTCGACCAACACGATGACGACGCCGGCGGTGAAGAGCTGGAGCATGACGAGCACCGCCGCTCTCGCCCGCTGCCCATGACCAGCTTCGCTCGCCCATCACTTCGCCGCCACCCCACCCATTGCTCCCGCCGTCCCGACCGCCTCTCTCCCCCTCTCCCGCAGCCACTGCCGCGCCCGTGCTCGCCTCCTCTCCCCCTCTCCCCATTCTTCCCCACGCGTCGCCATGCCCGCATTAGCCCGTCTGCTGGTGACAAGCAATGAGAGCCGGCCTCCTCTCCCTATCTCCCACTTCTTCCCCGCGCGTCTCCACACCCGCATCCACCCGCCTACCGCGCTCGCTTGCCACCCGCAGCAAGCCTCCCTCCCTGAAGAAGAGAAGAGAGAAGAGAGAAAAGAGAAGAGAAGGAGAAGAAAAGAGAATGTGTAGCTGACATGTGGGCCCCACGTACTTTTTAAATTTTTTTGCTGACTAGGATGCCACGTCAACTAAACCACCCATATATATTGCCATAGGACCGTGAGTGCACGGTTTGTGTGAGTTTAGGGGTACACATTTCTGATTTTGTGGTTAAGGGACCTTAAAAAATCTCACTGTTAAGTTGAGGGACCCCCGGTGAACTTATTCCTTACCGATTTGGAATGTTATGAGTATAATTCAGGGCTTTTTTACTTTGTTTCCAAAACAACAAACTAAATGAGACTTTATTGTTACAATCTTGTCAATCCCTACAAACTTTATAATTCTAGAAACTTCTACTCACAAAACTATACCAAAATTTGGTAAGGTATCAAACAAAACACCACCTCCACATTGTGATCTTCCCAAAAATTTGGCATTACTAAATTTTGGATTACCAACAAATGGTAAGGTTTTCTTTTTTCTGGCAATGAACTGAACAACCCCTTAATTTTACTTTTTTTTAAGCCATGGTAACAGTTTGCTACAGTAGTGATGACACTCACTCTCTCCCGTGGCCCATTTTTTGGTAATGGGATAACTCTCACTTTGATTGAATATGATGTTTGCGACATGGCTACCAACCAGAACAAGTTCATGACATCGTGCAATCACTATGCCACAAACGATATCGTACCAACCATGACGCGTGGTTGACGTTCCCTGCAATGCAAATCAGAGAACACTACAAGAACAAGATAAGATGCAATCTAAATATTGCGAATAGGTAATTAAGCACAAATATATAGTTGCGATTGAAGTGATAGATCTAATCGATCCGACAAATCAACACATCAACAGTTGGGGGCTCTGAATCTATAGTCGTCAACTAATCGAACGAGAACTAGAGACAAGGTGAATGACTCTTGGCAAAATTCAACTAAACAAAACCCAATTGTTCTTTTTAGGGCGTACAAAGCTATTTATAAAGGAAAATAAAGCTAGGATTAGTGCTGGTTCGTGGAGGTGGAGAGAGGCACTTCCGAGATGGGCCTAATCTATTACAAGGCCCAAAGCCCAAATTCAGTTTCAAACTGTCTTGTTTTGAAATTCCTGTTGACTCGAGATGAATTTTGATATGAGACCAGAAGCATTTAAAAGGTGACGACGCACCGCTTTCCAACAAGTACAAGATCATCCAAACCGGAGTTGACATGAAGGCGCTAGGTCCATTTGAAGTTGTTGGACTTGAATATCTTGTAGATCTTCCATTCATCCAATATATTATTTGACAATGTTTTATATTTCTCGTGCTTGGGTGGAAACTTTTTGGCCGCTTGTGACCTTACGTCCCCGTTTGAATATGCCAATATGGGGCTCCGACCACTTGACTCATAGGTGACGAAAATCATCCCGCCGTCCCGGCTCCATAAGAGCATCACAACAGCACATCCAAATTTTATCTTCCATATTCCCATTTGGATGCTCATCCAAAAAGATTCCCTCTCCATATTTCCTTTCACTTCAACAGATCATCTATACTAAATTGTCCATATTATATCATCCTTTATTTTACTAATATCTTTCAACTACCATACATTTTATATTAATTTCTCACTAACTCTTCCTCTCTTCTACTTCATATATAGGACGGGGAGGACAAGAAGGGCTGACGGACGGTTCGAAGGCGACGGGGTTGCGAGCCGTGCTGGTGCGGCACGGTCGCCGGGTGGAGGAGTAGCGCTGCGGGAGGGGGAGGTGCGAAGGAAGGCACGGGCGAAAGGGAGGTATGGTGGAAAGGCGTGGGTGGCCAGGTGGGGAGGTGGCGGGAGCGGCGGTGGAAGGCCGAGTCAGCATCGGAAGGGGACTACTTCTTCTTCAAACTCCCTAGATCTTGTTGGTGCCACCTCTCTACCTCCCTTCTCCGACAACCGGAGCCAATCCAACTAGAGCTGCAACTCATCCTCCCTCTCCTCCTCTATTTGCCGCTGGCGCAGATGCTGTGGGAGGTTGATCCGGAACTCTGTATGGGAGCAGGAGTTTGATCGAAATGTGGCGGTTGCGTATGGTGTGAGGAGAGAAGAACGCCAATTTTGACGTTCCTCTCTCCTATTTAGCACACGCGCTATTTTTGGCGTAGCCGATGGTGTATCAGTTGTTGGCTGATTTTTCACCCCCATATGCTAATTTTCAGATGGAGCATCTGCTGAGGATGCTCTAAGATTTTGTCCCTATTACCGATAGGGAAATCATCACCCTTAGCAGTATATACTAGTAAGGGCATGTCCAACATCATGACCTTAGGTTGTACCATGGTTTCAAGCTTCAGCTAGGCTCGGATGCCACGATGGAGGGGAGTAGTGGCTTCTAGGGTGCCAGAGTGACCTACAAAATCCATGGGTAGCTTGGGGAGAAAAGGTGAGGAAGTAATTGATTGAAAATATGGTTAAATGTGTGTAGAAATTAGGTATAATTGGAAGAATATGTAGAATACTTACAAATCTAACTTTTGAGTGTAAAATACAAAAATCCGGCATAACCTTTTCTATATTATGGACTTCGAAGCAATTCAACATTTCATAGCATAATAATTCAACAACCTCACATTTCAAAGCATTATGAAGTCCACACAAAACTGAAACAATAGAGTTCACAATATAATGTCCATGACTACAAATAAGGTAGTTCATATGACAAGCAACACGAATATAGAATGTTGTAGTTTGAAACAAAGGATATAAATGACATAGCTAGGTGTTCCATTGATTACATGTTGTACTCTTCTGTGGACATGAGCATCAAAGCCGTGAGAGTGTAGCAACCCAGCCTTGTATTCCTGCCAAGTGGGTTTGAAGACAAATAAACAAAACAACAGACTTTCTTGCAAAAAAGGCTAGAGAGAATACTTCAACTAATGTTGTTCCAATAGCCAGTCAAAGAATATCTCATTTGTGCTATCAAACATAAGGTAGCTTTGGAATCATCTCCAGTTATGGAGAATGTATATCTAGTGTAGTTCATTGACTGTGCTTATAATGATCAATAAACTTTGTTATCGAAAAAAAAACAGAATCCAGCAGGGCTCAGGCTCCCTCCGCTAGCACATCGGCGCTGAGTAAGGCCTATGGCTTGGGTTTTTTTCAAAAAACCCTATGGCCTGGCGTGGTCGTTGGGGGAGTCACGCGCCTCCCTCTGCCCGCGCTACGCGCCCTCCTGGCCCTATCCACGAGCGCGTCCATGCGCCGGCGAGCTGTGTGCTGGGTTTCCTCCACGCCTGCGCTTAGGGCACTTACAGTGCAAGTCACTCAAACAAGAAACCACAAGATACCACATAGGCTAAATACACGGGTCCTAATTTTGATATTCCCGCAGTGCAAAGGGCCTCATGAATAACTTTAATTTTTCATTTCAGCCCTTGCCCCTTTCAATTTCATCCACATATTTTTTTTTGATTTACAAAGAAGTCCAAATTTTACACTAACCACCCCTAAAATTGAGAGAAGAATATAAATCCCACCCCAAACCCACCACCGGATCCACCCCCACAACCCCTCCTATCCCCCCACACACCCCCACCTCGGCAAGTTCACCGGCGACGAACTCGCCTCCGGTGTCCCCCCACTCCCCCACCTCTACGATGAACTCCCGCTGCCGGCGGCCTCTCCCCTCTCCCCGTTGGCGCCTCTCCACTTCCGAACGCCGTTCTACCTCTCC